TGGGTCCGGGTTAGTATGGTTTAGGATTTAGGTGCAGCTTTGGCCCTCCACTATTGCTTGCAATACCTGGACCTTCCCAGATACTCATAGTAACTGCTGTTCATCACAAGTCACAGGAACGCAGGCCATGATGGAGGTCCAGATACATGTTATTGTGTTTTTGGTGTCGGCATTTAGGTTCGAGTTTCAGGAGCTGAGATTGCAGACATGCACGTTACCTCCTCTTAATACTCTAGTCAAACATCCTGTCCGTCGTAACGCATGCGAAGTGACCACCAACAGCACGAGCAATCATGTGGTTGTCACAATTAGGCTCCTGGCCTAAGGCCCCCGAGTTTAGGTGCCACAGCAAGACAACTAGTATTGCCCCGTTAAACTAGGGTCCCTTAAACTAGGGTCCAGAACTTTTGATGTTCTAAACCTTAAAACCTTTGACAGGTGCCCGCATTTCACCGGAGCCCCTGAAGGAACTCCTTTAAAGTTCATGTACCCAGGGTCATGATTTGGATCAAACAGGTTCTTAGCCCCTGCAAAAATACCTTGGGCCCAGACGGTTTTGCTTTTTGGGTACCTGGACCCCTGAGCTAAACCCTAAACCCCTCTTTCTGAGAAATGGGAAGCTGCCATTCTTCGCGGCTGAGTTTCAAAGGTGGAGCTGGTCGCAAGCATGGAAGGTGTTGGCGAGGATGGGGCTGCCTAGCTCATACTATAGCCCCCCTTAAGTAGATAGAATATAGGGGACATATAGGGTATATATAGGGATAGTGGAAAAGAAAATGGAAGCTACTATTTAGGGTTTAGGGGTATAGATGACTCTCATTAATCTTCCTATGAACTTTACTGACTTAATATTTGTCTTTGCTTTTATTTGTTCATTCACTCTTGTCTTAGGAAACCCTATATTTTCATATACTACACTCACTCTTCTCAGAGTTGCGGGTTTTCGTTGGCCTGAAGAAGCCACGATATGCCACGATTAGGCCTTTTCAGGGTCTTCTGGGGGAGAGGGGGTGTGTGTACCATAGACCATAGATTTTTATGATTGTCTGGGCAGATTACAACCACCTCACACGGCCTCACGAGAATGGTCCACATAGAAAGTTATCCCCACGACCCTTCTTTCAGGTCTTGGCCAACTGATAGGTGATCATTGGTGCCTGTGCTGTGAAATCAGTGTAGTCGTTGGTATTGGTACTGTTGTCGGTCTTTTTATAGGTGCCGAAGGAGTGTCAGCGAGCAAAAACAACGTTTTTCCGCCGGACCCTCTTGAATATGGTTTGTGTGGAATGAAAAGCTCAATCTGAAGGCCAAACTGCGCATCGCGGTTCTGAGGCATCTATTAAATGGCATGCCGGAATTGTAAACATATTGCTTCCCAAGCACATGCATTTGAGTAGCGCTCTTGCTCAACCCATGATGATTGACTGCGTTTGGTTATCGCAGCATCCATTTACTATGGTGGGCAGAAACTTCATGTTCAAACCAGCATGACATGCATCCCCAGAATGTCCATTCGCAAACCATAACGAAGTTTGTCTGCAAATGCACATCCATGCCCAAACTGGCAACCGGTGGCCAAGCGCCAGCTGCGACGGTAGAACCGAGTCGGGCATATGGTGCTTTCGACGTCTCGCGTTGCTTCCTCGACACGCCATCAAGTCGTCCGCTTTTGGTCCAGCCTGGCCCGGATGCCAGCTTGGAGGCCTTCAGACTGCACCGGGAGTAGCGCCGGCACGGCCGAACAATTCCTACCCTGCAAAAGACATGGGATGTTCCTGCAACAAGGCACACAGAAAGACTCAGCTGAAAGTGTTCCAATGTTTCTGTGTGCTTAGAAACGCAGAAATGAGTTTCTTGGCAAGGAGAATGTCCTGTAATGTGATTTTTTTGAAAGGCACCTTGGATGTTTGGTCGCTTCCCAAAATTAGGGGACCCAATATGGACCCCAATGTACTATAATCATGATAACCCATACGAGGATCCCCCCAATGGTACCCCTGATCTGGCGAAAACCCCATTTCCAGACTTTGGGACATGCGGTCGTCCTGTGCGTCTTCCCATTAAACAAATCAGGATGCTGAGCCACCATGCTTTTTCTGGGTTGCTGTTAAGAAATTAAGTTACCGTAATTAAGGAAACCTTGTTAGCCACATGCCCAGTTAATGGTAGTTCAGTTTAAGTTGTTTAACAGCACCCCAGTTGAGTAATCATTTGCTCATGCTGGCTCTTGCTGGGTGATGTCCCGTGGTCCGTTGTTCTTGTTCGTTGTTCTTTTTTTGCTATTGTTAGAGCTAGCTACGAAGGTGATATTTGTTGCTTTTGTTAAGCTTCTATGGTGAACACTATTGTAGCTGCAATTTCTGAAAGTCAGGACCCAGCATACACCTTCTTTGTGGTCGGGCACCCCAGAACCTTCAACATGTCGTGAGATTCATGTGATTTTTTTATTGCCGGACTGGGCCAGACTTCGTGCCTTCAGGCCCGCATAGCTCTGGTCTGAATGCCATCCTTGCAATTCCTGCATAACGTCTTTATCATCCAGGCGACCACATGTGGCCGTGCTTTTCATGTGATGCTTCGGACGACGGCAAAGGCCCCTGGCGCGCAAACGCCGGTTGCGGGCAGAGGCCAAGGATTGAAGGGATACTGGTACGATAGCACGAGCATTGCCTAAACTGGCAGCATTGGGCAGTCGGGAAAGGAGGGGTACTAGTCGTTGCCGTGGTTGTATTTGGTGGCGGTAACCCTAGTAATTACTACATGCCTGCGATAGAATGCAGCCACCAGCACATTGGTGGAGACAAGCACTGCTGCAGGCCCTCCGCAAGGAAACGTCCCAAGGCAGCGAGGGCTCTGCAAAGATGTCCGACAAATGTGCACATGAATGATGTCTTGCACGCCACATAATCCCCATATAACATGTTTCCGAACATGCTCCATACAATACATTCCCTTATTCCCTACCCGCAGTAGGTTTATAGATGATAACATACCAATAGACAATCTCCAAGATCTACCCTTAACCCCCTAAACCCTAAACGCTGACCCGTAAACCCCGTGATCTGCATGCATGACTGCGAGAGGCTCCGTTTGATAGTCAGCCGCACATCGGACAAGTCCGAGCGTGCAAGGACCTTGGCCTGCTTTTGATATTCCTATTAAGCCCATAAGATACGTAACGTTCCTATACATATGACTTATATAAATAGGGGATAATGGAAGAGAAAATGAAACATAGGACATCATAATAGGGTATATCTTGGGGTTCTAGTACGGAATAAGGGAATATAATCTCTACATGAGCCATAGCCTAGACTCCTTAAAGCAGGGCTATATAGGGGACTATTCTGGGGGTTAGCAAAGGGAATCGTACGAATTGAGATTATGTCTTCTATAATATACGACATTGCTCTATATATATATACATGTATATATATAACCCGTATAATGTATGATCAGTATAATCCCTATATAACCCACGTCATTAGGCAGATGCGGCTTTCACAGAAGGAGAGGGACCCCTTTGGTTTAGCGGTTTAAGGGCTTGCGGTTTTGCGTTTAAGTTTAAGGGTTTAGAGGATTTCGTTATATTGGGCCCCAACCCTACTAATGGACATTCCTTTTTTCGCCGCATCAGTTTCTATAAGGAAGCATTTACGATAAGGGTCGTGGTGTGGATTTTATTCCTGCAAAATGGGCAAGATAACCCCCCCCCCGAGTCCTGGACTTAGGCAACATGTTACGTATATCTTCTTGAAACCCTTTTGCAACACTTGACAAGCAAATGCCCTCGCATCTCAGTGACCCCAGAGTCCCACGAAGTAATATTGAGCCTAAACTCCTAGTATCCCCCTTAATAGCCCCTATCTGACTCCCCTAGATAATCCCCTATATAACCTCTCTATATGCCGCTAGCTCATCCTAGCACCCTCCTAAACCCTAACTTCGACCATCGAGGCCACTGTATTGGTCGAACTGAACCGCAGCGGTGTGCGAAAAGTGCCGCGCTGGCCGGATGCCTGGATAATGCATTTGCCTGTGAGGTGTGCGTACTTCATAAGCCCGAAATAAGCCCTATCTTCCTGGGTCTTAGTTGGGAATATGGGCATGGGAATATAATCCCTGTATATTCCCTATAAAAAACATTCGCAAATTCCGCACTAAGAACCCATGGGAATATAATCCCTATAGAATCCCCATAAAAAATGTAACCCCTTATTCCCCACTAAGAACCAGCAGGTATAGAGGTGGAGGGGGTTAAGGTGGGGTGGCATAGGATCCTGCAGAATTACTGGCGGGGCGGGGGGAGGCTTATGTAATGCTCGGGTCCTTAATGTGGGTTCCTCAAGGCCAAACCTTGTACATGAGTATGCCCTTCTAGAACCTAGAACCCTGAAGATTAGGTCTGTAACAGGCACCACAAAGGGTACTGTAATAGGAGTTATAGTACAACCCCGTCTTGAGGACAGTCAGCGGCATGGCCCAACCTATAGAATCCCATGAGCCCCAACACAACCCCAGTTTCGATTTGAGCCTCCATGTTCTTTTCCAGTTGATGTTCCCTTAGTAGTGGGGATATACATCCCCAGTAGGAACTTCTATATATACATACATACATATACATGTATATACAACCCCAGTTATGCTTCTATACCTTTGTATAGCACTTTATAGAACCCTTTCAAGGTTATCCACTAAACCCTAAACCCAAACCATGAACCTTGAGCCCTGAACCCTAAACCCTGCACAAAGCTCCTGCAGGCTGGGTTGCTGTTAAGGAACTTACGTAAATTAAGTTACTATAATGGGTATATAATGGAGAATCAAATGGAAAATGACATGGAAAATGAAATGGACACTGGGGGAATAAAGGGATTTAATGGACTAAAGTTCAGTTACCATAATGAGTATACATAGTAAATAATAGGGTTTCCCCAATATAGTAACTTAATTTAAGTTCCTTAACAGCAACCCAGCAAAGCTTCTGCAGGTCTGGCACCATGTCAGCGGGCGTAGTGAGCACCTGAGACAGCCTTTGCCACTCTGTCTACGGCTTGGGTTTGGGTTTTTAGGGGTTTATATCGACCCTTTAAAGGGGTTTACAGGGGTTACATACGGATAATGGAAAACATGGAATCTACTAGTTTAGGGTTTCAGGGTTTTGGGGCTCAGGGTTTTAGGCTATTATATTCCCATTCCACAATATTCCCTACTAAGAACAAGTAAGAACAGGTGTTGGTTCGGGCTTATCAATTAGGGTTCCAGGGTTTAGGGTTAAGTGTCCTGGGTCGACGGTGTAGAGCTCTGCTGGAGCATGATAGCAAGAATTCCTGGCCGCACCAAAGATCCAACAAGAATGGCCATTTCGAAGGTGCAGGCTGGCAGGGTGTAAAAGGCAGCTCAGGATTTCAATTCCTAGGGTGTATACAGGGCTTTGGGGTTTATGGTTAGTGCACATGTTGGCATATGTTGGCATGTTGAGGTAGAAGCCTCAATCAGTACCATTCATATTATCAAGTCTTATCATATACCTCGAGGCTTATTCTATTGAAGTGGAGCCCCCGCATTGCCTGTTTCCAAAACACGGGGACCCCAGTATAGACCTCAAAGCACTACAGTCCTAATTACGTGGACCAAACAATGCCCATTTTCGGAACCCCCTAAATATTGTTCAGACGTTTGTGCACTGAGGCCCAAACTCAGAAGAGGACGGCTCACGGTTCAGGTTTCAGCTTGGTGTTTAAGGTTCAGGCTTTAGGCGATAAATGGAGGGCGAATTAATAAATAGATCTATCAGGGGCAAGTTAGTCATGTCAAAAGTATACTTACTAAGTCCCGATGACCCTCCGAGTAGTAGGAAATGGAAAAGACAGCGGAGACTTGCTACCCTCCCTCGAACAATCATGGAAGCCCAAAGAACAGCCAATACCCTAAACCATAAACCCTAGTGACAGTAGTCTCTTTGTGGGACTCCTGTTGGGTTTCCATGCTTCTTTCTAGGGATGATGCTCTAGGGTTCAGTGGCTGGGAAAGTGGAGGCTTGATCCCTGCCGTAGTCCCTATGTAATCCGTGATCAGGACCCCTAAGCCCTAGCTTATCCAACTACTAACCGCAAGCAAGATGCACTTGCCCCGGATGGTTCTGGGCGCAGTGTAAAATACGAGGTTTTGCATAAGAGGGGACCAACTGGAACATCAAATTCAATCCTCTCCTCTGATAATGAACCCCCCACCCCTCCCTAAAAAGCCCTTCATATGGCACCATCATATTTACACATCTGTATATGTAGAGGAGAATAACCCCAAACTCTCATCGCCTAACCCTAATGTGCTGACGGAACAAAACGACTCCTAACACCAGACCATTAACCCCAGGGCAAAAACTTAACTTTCAACTCAACTCCTACCTGGACTCCGAAGTATCTAGAATAATGATGAATAATGGCCTTCTGACTCTTTTTTGGAATTTGGGTGCCATTCAGTTACCCTACACCCCGAACCTTAAACCGTTGGGGGTCTCTAAACCCAAAGCCCTAAAACCCTAAGCAGATAGGATCAAGTCGACTCTTCGGGTCTGGGCCTCTGGCTCGTATGCTTGCTCTTTGAATTGCCGCGTAGGGGTCGCCAACCCCCGGTTTAGGGCGGGGGTATTGTCTCCACCCATTAACAATTGGATAATATGTATGTCCAATTATATAGCGCCAAAAAGATGACCCCTATTATAGACTGTTAATGAGTGGGGGCAGGACGCAACGTGTGGAGATCGTCAGACCCCTTTTGCGCGGATGATCTTTTGACTTAGTAAGTCTACCGACTATCCCGAACAATCCCCATTATACGCCCTATTGATCCTATTACTACGCAGAGTTCGTGAGGCAAGAGAGCCGCCAAGCAGGGTTTGGGATTTGGGGCTCTGGGTTTAGAGTTTATGAGTCCAGGGTAACAGAGGCATGGCGGTATATCGGGGAATGGAAATGACGGTCAAACTATTACATGACCAGGGTGTAGGGCCAAGAATCAATCCCCCTACCCCAGTACTAATAAATACCCCCTCCCCTGAAATAATATCACTAGGAGGAATATCCATTATTGCAGGGTTGGGGTGTCTATTGGGGGAGGTGATGAGTTTGAGGATTTCAGCTTTGGGCTTATAAGGGAGGCTCCCAATTTTGAGGTAGTCTCTTTTTGGCCGACCATGTATCACAACCCTTGGTTCTAGGCTCGGTTTGTGATATGCTCACTTGCTGGCTGCTTGCCTTTCATTCTTGAAAGGTCAACGCTGCAGTAGTGGTGGCGTTGCGTGAGCGCGTGGCAGTTGCACCTCGGTCAGTTTACGGTTTAGGGCTTAGTGGAAACCCATGATCAATAAACCCCCTCCATCTAAAGGGCCTGAATATTAGGATCCCTACTACAGTCCCTATTAAGGGGAGGGGGTTTACTATTCACGGGTCTGGGTCATTGGCTACGTAGAGCCTTGTGGTACAGGTCGCGCAGTTCTTGTAGATTCGGCAGCACGCTGTTCAAAACTCCTCCCCAGAGATACAACATCCAATATTAAGCCTCAGTTCTGCTGCGCTGCATGTGGTTGTTGTTTTTTGCTGCAGTTCAATGTCAGGAAGACCGCTTAAACGATCAAGGCGTTGTAACATGTAGTCGCGTAAAGTTCCGATTGCATCGTAGCATCTGTGTTGTGAAATGCACTACCCTGTTCCATTTCCTGTGGCGTCCATGTATGCTCCCTAAATAAAAGCCCTGTATAGACCCAGAACTCTACATCTGAAATCCCAACTGATCCCTACGGAATCCTTAATGCTAGACTCCGTAGTTTCTCCCCATGTCGAGAAACCCTATAAGCCTGCAAGCCTAGATCCTGAACAGATGATTTAATGTATAGGGCTTCGGAAAGAGAAAATGGAACATGGAATGGAAACTGGGGTTGTAGAGCGGTTTATAGGGAGAAGGTCTGAGCCACTGTCAACATTAGGGATACCAACATCTCATGCAAGCCCGATCTCATTCCTAATCTCACTCCTCACTTTTCCCCGAGACCCAAGCCAAACCATCCTACAGAGCATTCAATTCTGAAAGACGCCCAGAACTGTTCATCAATCAAAAAAGTGGTCTGTGGGAGCTCTGTTTTGACGCATTAAACCCTAAATCTCAAACAGGTCGCTGCATTTTCTGGCAGATGTCTAAGCCAGGTCACAGTGACCATCATTGCTGACAAGCCAGCCGCTATTGTACCGGCCACAGGTTTATGGATGTCTCCGGTCCCAGTTTGGGTGACCCTGCCTTTATTGTCCTCAGGGTTTTAGATCACTGCGCTAATGCGGATGCATTGTTTCAAGGGGCTCGTCGCTGCAAATGCCGCCTGGGAGATTTTCTACTCAGACACTGCGCAATGTGAACCCCCCACATGGGTGTCTCTGGCACGTTACTTCCGCTTTGCATAATGTACTGCCACGATGGCAGCCACTGGTATTGCAGCTGCTGCTGCTGCTGCTGCTGCTGCTGCTGCTGCCGCCTATAGTAGGATCACCAAGACGGCTTGCCATTATAGTGGTCATCATCAAAGTCATCCATCCTCGTCGCCCTGGCATTGTTCTTATTATTATTAGTTGTTGTAGTAATGTACTGGTGGTGGTGGTGGTGGTGGTGGTGGTGGTGGTGGTGGTGGTGGTGGTGGTGGGAAATCCTGAACCCACAAGTATTACAAGCCTAGGCCTCAGCACCACGCCAACTGGAGGCAAACAAGGGCCGGTGCGAAGACATCTCCCTGTTAGCCTTTGGCTCGTCAATGAATTCGTAGGGATTAAGGGAATAAGGGAATAGTACACATATATATATATATGTATATAGATAGGCATTATGTAGGGTTTATTAGGGTTGTATAGGGATTATATATGGATCAATATCTAACAATGCCAGATCTTAACCCCATACCCCCGGAGTCTTGTAGCCAGGGATGACGAGGCTGAGTATGTGCTGACAACAGCGGAGATCATCCATACCTAAGGTAAGGAGCAGCCTCGAAGGATAGACAAGGATTCCTTAAACAAAGCCCCATCTCTTCTAAAGAAACAGCGGACTGCAGCCAACTAATGTTTGTGGCTTTACTATGGCAGAAGGACAACTGACTCACATGGGGGGTGTGTGAAGATCATGGGCCTCGTATGGTTGTGCTTTCAATTGGGATTTTGAAGTACTTCGGAGCTGAGTACCAGAAGATTCATGGGAGTTGGCTCGGTACGCCCCTACTTATTGCAGCAACCTATGCCAGGCCAGCTAGCGGGATTGATACAGCCAATTACTGAGTCCTATGAGCCTTCACGGAGGGGGTCCGTAGCTTTGCTCATCTCGCTGACGGTGACAGGAAAGTGGCGGGGAAGAAGTGGAGAACGAAGATGCCACCGTCCTGAGGACGTCACCATACTCAGACTCCAGTAAGATATTGGGTTTTCTCCAAAAGTCAAGATCACTTCATGAGGCTGACAGAAAATGGCGCTGGTTTTGGGGAGTCTGCATGGTTGTCCCGTGTCTTGGTTCCCCCGCCATACCTGTGACCACAGGGATAGGTGTAGTTCTGTCAGATCCCCTTCATATTCCTACTGCGCCGCTATTTTTGCGAGTGGGGGAATAGCACTTGTCCTTTGCTTAGAAACTTTCATAAAAAGCCTAGGCAGGGTTCAGCAGCCGCACCGCAAACCCTCCAATATCATGAGCTTTCCTGGTGTGTAATTGGGAAATAGAAGGGCCGCAACATGGTGCATTCAGCGAATTGTTGAGCTCATTAGATGGGCTTGACGCTTAACCCTCGCGCGCCCAATATGTGGGCGGGGGAACCACATAGCATTCCTGCCCTTATCGGCCCTAATCCCTGAACCCCGCACGTCTCTATAGCCCCTTTGCCTTTAATGGTTTCCACGAAACTCTAATCGATCAGGTTCTCTGGTGAGCTGAAGATAGACATGCTTCGTGCCTGGAGCTGAGAAGACAGACGCAGGCTGCAACATAACTTGGGCCATTTTCACGCTGACCCCTACACAGCCTCTAAAACCCTAGGCCCCAGAATCTCCAAAGATTCCTATAGATCCCTGGCATCTCTTCGCGCCCGGACATGTACACGGGCAGGGCCTGACAAATCATGGTTTCGGGTTAGGGTTTATGGTTGGATTTAAGGTTTAGGGTTTGGGTTTAGGCTTTTATGTTTGGGGGCACATGCAAACGAAGTTCCGCTAATGCAACAGCCTCAATATGCCTCAATCAATACCAATATTGTTACCATGTAATCCTGAGAGGCCTATACTGTGACCCTAACATAGTCCCAGCTTCCACCTGAGCCACAGTCTAAACTCCTTGAAAGGGGTTATATAGGGGATTATAGGGGATTGTTCTAGGGCTTACTAAGTGGCATGCTAGGAGTTTAGACTATTGCACATACAGAGCTACATACATAGGAAAATATAGGGATATGTAAGGACATAAAGGGTTTAGGGGCATACTAGGAGTGTAGACCCTAAACCCTACACCCTAGACTATTGCTAGGAGTTTAGACAATATGTCTCATTCCATGTTTACTTAGTCGTATTTTCCGTTTGCTTCGCCATTATGTGAAAGCGAGGTAAAGCGGCCAAAGAATGCTAAACCTTTCATAATCCCTATAGTCCCCCTTAAGTAGATAGAATATGGGCTATATGGGAATCTTATTATAATATACCCAAAGCCATATTCTATCTACTTAAGGGGGGCTATGAGCCTAAAGCCTAAACGTTACAAGACCCTAAACCTTACAAATCCCTAAACCTTCTACAAACCCTAAACCTTTTAAACGTTACGCAATCTCATTTCATTGCGGTCGCCAAGGTGGGCTTGGTTGTGGAAGGCCGGGTGAGAGCTTGCACCGGCTCTTCGGAGGTGTAGGGTTTAGAGTTAGGTTTTAGGGTTGTAGGGTTTAGGGTTGGGTTTTAGGGTGAAGGGTTTAGGGTTAGGGTTGAGGGTTTAGGGTGTGGGGATTCTTAGGGAGCAAGTCCTATAGAATCCCTTATTAAGACCCAATCCCCCTACTTTAATCTCTAGATATCCCTAGGGTCTAGCGACGTCCTCCTCAAGAAAACTCCCACTGAATTGGAACAGAGTTTGCGGCATGTTACGTAAGGTATAGAGTTCTACACGGAGTAACGGAATAATTTTGGCAATTCTGGCGGCCTGGGGTAGGAACTCCTGACTTTTGGATGATGGGTAGGGCTTCCCACAGCCGGGATTCAGGCCGCAGAGTGGGATCACTAGGCATTTATTGCAGACCCATTGGCACTACATGAGCTGTAGTCTAAACTCCTTTAAGTGGGCTTTATAGGGGATTATACAGGGGACTACTATAGGGGCTATTGAGGGGGATACTAGGAGTTTAGATTATGGCTCACATGAGCCCAACCACCTTGATTTTGGCACAGCCTCGCGCATTTGCCAGCTGAGTTTACCCTCCCCCAAGCCCAATTTAGTTTTCCACCTAAACCCTAAACCCTAAACCACTTTATCTTGGCCCCTTTAAAATTGCACCTTAGTTTGGGGCCTCAGCCATACAGCTACCCAAGAAGCTTGGCGAAACAACACCAACACCCTAGCTCACAAAGTGAGCACGCGGGTACCGAATCTCTCATTTTTGGTGGGGGGTGCGGTGCGCATATCTGGGATCTAACTTAGGTGGACCCCCCACCCAGTAAGAGTGACTATAGGGGATAATAGGCATTATATTAGGGTCCTCTTATATTCCGATTATACCACTATTACAGGGTGGGGGGGTCCTCCTGACATCTAACCCTTAAGGACCCCCTTTTTGGAGAAGTATCCTTTTAGGCTGTCGGCCACGTTTGGGGTTTCGTGTGATGCGCACGAAAGCAACTTCTTTTTTTTGGGGGGGGAGGGGGGGGGTGGGTCGGGTTCTCAGAAAATGGGGCCATTATGGACCTTGGGAATGTATTGGGATGAAACGAGACTATGGGCAGTCCACCTTAAGGAATACATCCCTGTACCTGCGAATTTGCAAGCTCCTTCTCCTGAAATTGGATTGCCAGGGCAGTCCACCACGTGGTCACCCTCATCCGTCACGCCCTCGTAAGGGAAGAAGCCCTGGGTGAAACCAGCCACACAGCTTACATGGAGGGTCAGGGGGACTTGGTAAGTAGGTTAATAAGGGGGATAACTGGGATTATTATGTGGGTTAGAGGGGTTATTAAGCTACTTACTAAGTCCCCCTGACCCTCCAAGTATATCCTTACCATCGAAACCTGAGCAGATATTACTGGAATCCCTGACGTATGGGCAAGACTGTGACTTGGCTTTCTAGGAAACACTGCGATGTTCCCCAAAGTGTTTTCTTAGGAAGGCAGTTTGATGATGGCTCACCTCGCAATTAGTCAATTGGCCAACACATCAGACCGCCCGCTTAGAGGTTCATGGGGTTTAGTAGCTACTTCTCATTAGGTTCTAAGCCTACCTGTTCCTGGGGCAACCCATAGAAGACCAGCTGGGGGCATTCTGAGTTGTGCATTAAGCCAGCTTTCAGTACTTACTCAGTCCAATGAGCCCTTCAGCGATTGAAATGAGATTCCGGGAGGCCGAGACTGAGGGCTGTGGTTTCAGCGCCTCCCGAAACGGGCTTTGCCTGTCAGTTAAGGGTCTTGGATGGCTTGCAATCACAGAGCAGGTAGGGAAAAGCCCAAGATATACCTCAAGGTGCTATATTGTACCGTAATTGCGATGTTGGGCGACGCTGGTGTTTTGTGATGTACCTGCCAAGCCGCCTAACACGGGGAAACCTTAAATCCCTTTTTCATCCCAGCTTCCATTTTCCTCAAAAATTATGTTTTTTTGAGTCTTCGTTTTTGGAGTAATATCCCTAAACCCAGTTTTCATGTTCACTTTCCATTACCACTATATCCCCTGTATAAATAACCCTCAGGGCGCCCCCAAACCCCCAAACCCTAAACCCCAAACCCAAAACCCTTAACTTCACACACGCTAAACCCTAAATCCCAAACCCTAACCCCAAACCCTCAACCCCAAACCCTAGATCCCAAACCCTTTACCCCAACCCCTAAACACCAAACCCCCAAATGCTGTGGCCCTGGCCAAGGCATCCTCTGAGCCGCGACATCGACACGAGGTCGCCGACTTATTATTATTACTATTACTACTATTATTATTGTTATTATTACTATTATTGTTATTGTTATTATTACTATTATTATTACTATTATTACTACTATTATTATTACTATTAGACTTCTGCGCATCCTTTTTGGACGTCCGCAGTTTAGGGTTTGGGGGTACGTGCGAAGCGTTGAGGTTTAGGGGTTAAGGCTTTAGGGTTAAGGGTTCAGGGTTTGGGGTTATGGGTATATCATATATGGAACTCTCCTCCGAAAATGGGTTTTAGAGGGGTATATCACACATATTGAGCTTTTTGGGGCCGTCCTCCAAGAATGGGCCATATAGGGTACCTATTTAAAGGGGACTGTAGGGAATATGTAGGGATTAGGGTGTAGGGCTTCCCCAAGTCTACATTGGGGATCCCTTTATATTTGGGACACTACCATATGTAGAGTGAGACAATAATATAGGGGTATATCATATATAGCCCAATAATGGAGAATCAAATTGGAAGAGCAAGTGGAAAATGAATTGGAGAGAAAAACAACAGATGACATGGTGCAACATTACCATTACTTTAGGAGCTGGGGACATACGGTGGTTCGAGGGTTTTAAACAAGTAGGGGCTTTTTTTGGGAGTCTCTAGAATGTGGGTTGTAGTAGAGTGTCTATATTGGTTCCCCCTGCATCTATGGAAAGCCGCAAGTCTCTAAATTACTGGAACCAAGGTTTCTGCTAAACAGAATAGGATCCTTGTTGAAGGCCCCTTTAAAAAGGCACCCGCACATCATAATCGATATAAGCGCTGTTGCAGATGACACTAGTGCTTCCCAATATGCCTACCTACGGTGGATACTACAATCCTGCATGGCCCTAAGTACCCTGAACCTTGGGAATTGTGGTCTTACTCATAGTATAGTAAGATCATGCAGGATTGTAGCACCAGCAGTATCTTAACTTCCCTGTTAAAAACCACAGTTTCCATTTCATGTTCCATTTTCTTGCCCATGGGATTCTCCAGTACTGTGAGTATATATCCATCAACCCCAAACCCTAAATCCTAAACCTGAGATCTGCCGTGTTAGTATGTAGGAGTTGAACTCCACATCCAGCCATTTTGGCTCGCAGAGCTTTCGGAGATTCTCAAAAGCACGAGCCCCTTTCGAGGGGTTAAATATAGGTTCTAGGGTTTAGGTTATTGGGGTTCACTTTTTGAGGCACTTGTGATATGAACCCATCGAACCTCATTCTATCCTTTGTCTACCATCATTACTATACGGCTTAAATGCTAACATTATGGTCCTGGTTCCTGGTAGAACGATAGTATAGGGTACCACAACTACACCTCAACGTGTTATTGGTAAGTACTCAGGCAGCTACAGTACACAAGGCCTGTATGCAATCCCTATATCATTTCATCTTCAATCTTTTCTCCTACCTGAGTTTCAACTATTCGGGCAATAGTCCCCTGAAACCCTTAAACCCCTCCATATCTGTATAATATTATGGAACCCGACATTCCCCTACCTAATTCCCCTTCTACCTTAGCCTCTGAACCTGTAGTCTCCTCAGCAATGATTTTTCATTTTGTATTGTGATAGATCACAAAGGGATTATTATCAAGACTATGTTCATTCTAGGTCCAGGGGAATTACGCCCCAAACCCGTAAATCAAACCCCTCAAACTTCGAGAATCCTGGCTTTCATGAGCGGCAGTGCCAATTGCTGGCCTCACTATGCACCCTGATGAGCTTCAGTAACTTTTCCGTGCAGGTTTCCTCAACGGATACAAGGATTACTATGCAGGGGTTGTATAGGGTCTAGGGATGAGGGTTCCCGTTGAGGCTTAAAACCTGAAGTCCACCGGTCCCCACAAGAAGATCCCCGTTAAGAAGGTTCCCTTTGCCCTATCATTTCTTTTTCCATTTCACTTCTCCTTGGCGAAGCCCTACTGCTCTACATGTTTTTTACGCATACCTGAGCTCAGCAAATAACCAATTGAGAACGATCATGTTGACCATACGGTGGATGGAGAAAGTCTTGCAGCAATGGGTATGCCCAAAGTGTTGTAATTACAGCGCGCCCTCCATCCGCCTTTAGCACCCCAAATCTTACATACCGCATACATCTCTACATATCCTTATGCATCCCTATACAACCTTACATGTACACCTTTCACCTTAAACCCTAAACACCTTAAACGCTAAACCTGACATAACAACTTTGAAGGATCAACCATGTCCAAGGCATACAACCTTACATAACCTAAACCCTGAACCTTAAACCCTAAACCCTAATCAACCATGTCCCAGGCATACAACCTTACCTAACCTCAACCCCTGAACCCTAAACCCTAATCAACCATGTCCCAGGCATAGGATAGGCCGCCTGAAGAAGAAGCAGGCCAAGTCCAAAGCGCGCCAAGCCACCTCAAAGGCGCCCAAGGATGAGGCGAAGGCGCGGCAGCATAGATAATCATATGAGTAGTATTCATTTTGGGGATACTATGGTACCCATTGTAGAGTAAGATTACATCCTCCTTTTGGGTATAGTATTTTTATTCAAGGTATATTAAGATTTTGAGCTATAGTCTCAACTTCCATCCTTAAAGAGGAATTATATAGGGGATTATATAGCGGACTACACAAAGGGGGTATTAAGGGGGATACTAGGAGTCTAGACTATGGTACATATGGGTGGTTGTTAAAATTATGACCCCTTTTTGGGTACCCTAAATATTAGGTGCCGTATTAGAATAGGGATCCAAGAAGGGACCGTAATTTTGACAACCACCCATATGAGCTAGAGTCTAAACTCCTTCAAGGGGTTATACAACGACATAGGGGATTCTATAGGGGACTATATAGAGGTTATGAAGTGGGATACCAGGAATTTAGACTATGGCTCACACCATGTTTATGGCTATAGAGGGACATGTGGGGAAAAGCAGGGTTATAGAGGCTGATGTCTGAGTATGCCTCAGCGAAGGGGCGAATCAAGGGCAAACAAAAACGGAAAACTGAATGGGAACTGGATTCGTGTGCGCTTCGTTTGTTCAAGTTATCCATGTTGTCCAACTTTTTCTGGGTGCGGTCAGTGCCCACCATACGGAGGTTACGGAGGGAAAGCAGGGGGTTGCAAAGGCCCTAAACCCTAAACCCTGGACGGTATGCTTAAAGACCATGTAGGGATAGGCAGGGCTTAGAATATTGACTGTAGCGTTTAGGTACCGTGGGGTCCTCACTGACGCAATGGAGGCCTGGCGAAGAACTCTGTCCATCCAAAAAGGGGCTTGTTTGTATGGGTTCTCCCTAAGCCCTAAACCCTAACCCCTTGTTTTGCGAGGGGTTTACAGGGATTTTGTCCCTATGAACTTGGGGTTTATAGAGAATACTGGGCGTGGCCCTAGAGCGGGTTCACGGTTGTGGCTCTTGTTAAACGCAGTCATAGGCTTGCTTCTCCTGAACATGCACGACTGCAGACCATTTTTCAACCAACGTTTAGACATTGATCGGTAGATATGCCGTCTTCTGATAAAATTGCCTTTCAATCACTCTAGTGACTCTGGTGAGGAACTTCCTGAATCCTATAGTATCCTAGCAAGGAACGCCCAGATTCCCCTCATGCTCCCCTAAACCCTAATAAGGGCCATCCTTTTGGAGAGTCTCCCGTTTTGCTCCCCTCAGTCTCTGAAATATCCGGATTGCTGGTTTATGCCGTCCCGTCCGCCTGGCTGGACTTGCATAGCTTACCGCGACTACAAGTAGGGCTAGACCCCCCAAAAAAAGTCTTAGCCACATGAATTTCGACGTGCAGGTGCTCTAGAAGAACCCTAAACTAAAAACTAAAAACCCCAACCTCTAAACCCCAAACCCTAAACTTGCTGGGGGATCATCCTGGTTAGGGAAGATCCCATTAACAAAAAATACTGGGGGTTCGTAGGGAATTAGGGAATATGTTATGTAGGGATTTTATGGGGAGTAGATTCCCAAATTCCCGACTAAGAACCAGTAAATAATCAATTTCAGAGACATAGGCAGATGAGACCGGGCCTGGGGGCCAAGATGCCCTGCAGCCTGGAAAGGTCGAGGAAGCTGGCTGGAAAGGCTGGGACCTACGGTTTGGGGTTTAGGGGTTGGGGGTTAGGGTTTAGGGTCAGGTGGAGGTACTTGGCGGCTCCCTTTGTAGAGGGCTATATAGGGATATCCAGCCCCAGCAAGGGTTAATCAAACGGGAAAAATTGAAACTGACATGAAAGCTGGGATGAAAATCTCAGTAAAAAGGGCTATGGGGCTTGTAACAGGTGTCATTTTGGATAGTAGGTAGACTTGCCCAAAATCATGCTTAGACTCCTATAGTCTCCCTTAAGTAGATAGAACATGGTTTTGGTTATATTGTAATAAGATCTCCATATACCCATAATCTATCTCCTTAAGGGGGACTATACACCCTACACCAGAGCTTCAAAACGTGTGGTGATTTGGCAGGCTTTTGCACTGCATTTGCCAACATCCTCAGCAGAGAACTTCCGCAAAATGCTTCGCCGGTCTTGGCCGAGACTGAGATAGAAAAGAAGCTGAAGGCAAGCAAGGAAGAGTCAAAAGCCAAGAAACTCCAAGCAGCGGAAAACCGGACGGAGAAGGACACGTGGCTGTTTTTTTTTGTGAAGTTTTTGGCAAATCTGAAATTTTGCGCTACTCAAAAGGTCTCAGCTTACTTCAGACCTACACTCTACACTAACAAGCAATCCCTTCCCGGATACAAAAACTACCTAAACCCTATAAACCCTATAAATAAACCTTTTGATCAACCCTAAGAACCCTATAAACCCTAAACTGAACCCCTGGCAGGACAAGGGCCACTCCCTTCCGGACATCGCGCAGAAAAACTTCGAAGCGCAGCTCCGTAAGTATGCCACTCAAGGCGGGGGGCTTCAAAAGAAGGGCATCCCTGTTGGTGGGAAGAAGAATCCAAAGTAGACTTACTCGGTGTTATTCGCCATAAAGTTTGTGC